CACACACACACACACACACACACACACACACACACACACACACACACCACTTCTAAAGAGATGCTTCCCATCCATTTTTTTTCTCCTCCCTGACTCACTCTTCTTCCTTCTTTTCTTTTTCTTCTTTTTTATTTCCTCCTCCCCTCCTCCTCTCCCTCCTCCTCATTCTCCTCTTCCTCCTCCTGTCCTCCTCCTCCTTCTTCTTCCTCTTCTTGTTCTACTTCATCATCTTCTTCTTTTTCTTCTCCCCTCCTCCTCCCCCTCCTTCCCCTTCTCCCCCTCTCACTCCTCCCCCTTCTCCCCCTCCCACTCCTCCTCCTCCTCCTCCTTCTTCTCCTTCTCCTTCTTCCTTTTTCTTTCTTCTTCTTTTTATAAAGAAAAAATTTAGTTGACTCACAGTTCCAGTGTTGGGTATGATTCCTTTTTCTCTTATCATCCATTTCTTCTCTCTTCTGCTCCCTGGAGGCTCCCTTCTTACTTGTCCGAGGCTGCTCTCCCTGGACCCCAGGGTTGGCACTCACAGGCTGATTCCTGGGATGAGCAGCCTCCACCTGTCAGAGCAATGGTAGGAACAAAGTACAGGGCAGGAGGCCAAGATCTCAACCTGGAGACTGAGGGACTAGGTCTTGTGGTAACAAGGGTGTGAGGGTGGGTCAACCCCGAACCTGATCCCTCTGTTTTGCCCTGGAAACCTCTCTCTGCCCCGAGATGAAAGTGCAGTCACTCAGCTGTGGGAGAAAATAGTCATACCAACATGAATTTTGGGAAGCTGGATGGACTCAGACCCTGGCTCGAGACCTGGAGGCTCCCTCGTGTGCACAGCACTGTCCAGGTGCTGATAACAGAGGGAGAGCCTGGGCGGTCCTGGCTGGGGAGAGAGGAGAGCGTGGTACTCCGTCCTGGGTCCTATGGCTATGCTGGGACACCGCTGTTCTACTTTCGGATTCTGACTGAGCACTCTCCGGGACGGGGTTGCGGGCTACATGGGCAGAGGGCAGGCTACATTTGCTTGTCTTGCAATGTGAGGCAACTGTGGAGTAGCAAGATCTGGTTCTAGAATTCTTATGGTGAATACTGTTCTCATAGAATCCAGCCAGAATGAGAGTCCAGGGCCTGAGTTGACTGTCCTGGGCACACTCGGCTTTGATGGAGTTGCCAAAAATGTAACTTTGGCACTTGCAGAAATTTCAATGATTGCCAAAAACTCCAAATACTTGTGTACAATTTCATTTCTGGTGTCTCTGGCTGTGCTTTGAAAGGGCAGAAAGAAACATGGAAAGAGGCTGAAAGACTCCTCTGGGAATTCTCAAGTCCCTTTTGATAGCAGTAACAATTCAGAAGTGACTGGGCTGTGGGAACTAAAAAGAGTGGAGGGCGTGAGTGATGAGGGGCAGAGAGAAGGGCTGGGGAGCAGGAGGTGAGGAAAAGGGCAGGGGAAAGAATTCTAAAGCAATGGAGGAGGCTAGCAGGGGATTCTTTGCATTCGGTGTTTCTCTACCAGGCAGTGTGGTAGTTACACTATTATAAATAATTATCAGTATTCACGAAAAAGCACAGCTAAAACTGGAAAATTTTATTACATGTAAATGCCCTAATAAGCAAATAAAGGGATGAAAAGGCAAAAATAAAGATTTTTTAGATCATCAAAACCATAAAATTCATTTCCTAGGGGTCCTGTACTACATGTAATTTTAAAGGAAGTTCTGCAGGCTGAAGGTAAGTAGTACTAGATGGTGACCCAGATATACAGAAAGGTACAATTAACAACAGAAATGATGCACACACACATATCACATACACACTCATTTTCTTAATTTTCTGAAGACATGGCAGCTTGTCTAAAACAAAAACTATTACACTGTATTGTTGAGTTTATAATGTATATTAATGTAATATATACAACAATAATAGCATAATGATAGGTTAAATGAAACTATACCCTTTGAAGTGTCCTTTATTTTGCTAGATGTAGTTTAATATTACCTGAACTTCACTGTGAAAAGTCAAGGAATTGGGTTTCCATTCTTAAAACAATAAAAACATGAGAAATATAGCTAAGCTGGGTGGGGTGGCTCATGCCTGTAATCCCTGCACTTTGGGAGGCTGAGGCAGGCAAATCACCTGAAGTCAGGAGTTCGAGACCAGCCTGAGCAGCATGAAGAAACCCCATCTCTACTAAAAACACAAAATTAGCCGGGAGTAGTGGCATGCGCCTATAATCCTAGCTATTCGGAAAGGCTGGGAAGGCTGAGGCAGGATAATTGCTTGAACTCGGGAGGCAGAGGTTGAGGTGAGCCGAGATCGTGCCATTGCACTCCAGCCCAGGCAACAAGAGTGAAACTCCGTCTAAAAAAAAAAAAAAAAAAAAAAAAAAAAGCCACTAGGAGAATTAAAACCATAAACTGAAAACTGTTTACTTGACATATAAGAAAGTAGCAAAGGAGGAACAGAAACAAAAAGTTATGAGACAAATTGAAAACACATAGCAAATGGTAGACCAAAATTCAACCATTGGAAGTGAAGAAATGACTCTGAGCACTGTGGGAGAACAGATATGGGCAGGAAGTGAGGGACAGTGTTAATACTACAATACAGAAGTGGCAGGGACTAAGGGAAGGGGAGGGTGTGAGGGATGAGACGGGCAGAGAGAAGGGCTGGAGAAGCAGAAAGTGAAGAAAAGGAGAGAGGAAAGAATTCTAAAGCTGTGGAAGAGCTTAGCAGGGAGTTCTTTGCATTCGCATTTAATACATTTTGTGGGACTGCCTAAAAACTAATGGCTGCCTCATGATTAAAAAAAAAAGGTTACAAAATACCAAGTGTCCAATAAAATATGCACACTGCTTAGATGTCCATAGTTCACGAAAGCAGGCAGTGTTTGTGGGTTGGGGAAGAGCATTGGGACTGCTTGGAGCGTTCGCAACTTGGAAGTGATGACTACAGGCTCCCAGTTGCAATATACAGTAACATACCGGCTTCTTTGTATTCAGGAAATGTTCTGGACTCACACAGGGAAACTCCGACTAGGAAATGAAGATAATTTTAAATACGAAAACCCAGAGTCGCAGATCCATTGTCTGGGAAAATAAAAATTAGGAGCTTTGAGAGTTTAATTGTAATGCTGTTTTGACACGGGTTTTTGATAAATTGAAATTCGAATCATTCAGAGATTACCAATATTGTGCTACCTTCTGTATTAATAAACAAAAAGGAAATTGGTCTCTATGAGAATCTATCTGGTGTCTTTAGACAAAACTTGACCAGGTTTAGAGAGAAAACTCCTGTCTCTACACCTCCATTCCCAGGGGGAGCTCACTCCCTGGCATCAAGTTCTCCGTGGTGAGTTTCCTTGTGCAAGGTCCAAGGGGAGAGGTAAGAAGTGGGAGGCAGGGGGTCCAGTTCAGGGACGGGGATTCCTGGACGAGAAGTGAAGGGGAAGAGGCTGGCCACAGCCTGGGAGTCTCTCCTTGGTTTCCACAGACAGACCGTTGGCCAGAACTCAGGCAGTCAGTGTGACAAAGAGGCTTGGTGTAGGAGAAGAGGGATCAGGAAAAAGTCCTAGTCCCCGGGTGTGGATCTCAGGGTCTCAGACACCGAGGGCCTTGTCTGCATTGGGGAGGTGCAGCTTGGCGATTCCCCACTCCCCTGAGTTTCACTTCTCCCAACCTGTGTCAGGTCCTTCTTCCTGGTTACTCATGAGTAGCCCCAGTTCCCACTCCCATTGGTGTTGGTTTTCTAAAAGAAGCCAATCAGCGTCTCCGCGGTCCCGGTTCTAAAGTTCCCACGCACCCACTGGGACTCAAATTCTCCCCAGACACTGAGGATGGGGTCATGGCGCCCCGAACCCTCCTCCTTCTGCTCTCTGGGGCCCTGGCCCTGACCCATATCTGGGCGGGTGAGTGCGGGTTCCGGAGGGAAACTGCCTCTAGGGGAGGAGCGAGGGGCTGGCCTGGCGGGGGCGCCGGACCCCGGGAACCGAGCCGGGAGGTGGGTCTGGCGGGTCTCAGCCCCTTCTCGCCCCCAGGCTCCCACTCCATGAGGTATTTCTACACCGCCGTGTCCCGGCCCGGCAGCGGGGAGCCCCGCTTCATCTCCCTGGGCTACGTGGACTGCACACAGTTCGTGCGGTTCGACAGCGGCGCAGCGAGTCCGAGAGGGGAGCCGCGGGCGCGGTGGATGGAGCAGGAAAGGCCGGATTATTGGGACCCGGAGACACTGACCCTGAAGGCCAGCGTACAGACTCACCGAGGGAACCTGTGGACCCTGCTCTGCTACCCCAATCAGAGCACGGCCGGTGAGTGACCCCGGCCCTGGGCGCAGATCACGGCCCTCTTCATCACCCACGGACGGTCCATGTCGCCCCGGGTCTCCGAGTCTGAGATCCACGCCGAGCCTGCGGGACCCGCGCAGACACTCGACCCGGGAAAGCTTCAGACGCCTTTACCCGGTTTCATTTTCAGTTTAGGCCCAAATCCCCGCGGGTTGGTCTGGGCGGGGGCGGGGATCGGTGGATGGGTCTGACCGTGGGGGCGGGGTCAGGCTCTCACACTCTCCAGATGAACTATGACTGCGACCCGGGGCCTGATGGGCGCCTCCTCCGCGGGTATTAACAACATGCCTATGACTGCAAGGATTACGTGGCCTGAAGGAGAACCTGCTCTCTTGGATAGCGGCTGACGTGGCTGTTCAGATTACCCAGCGCAAGTTGGAGGGCGCCCATGAGGCGGAGGGGGCTCAGAGCCTACCTGGAGGGCACATGTCTGAAGTGGCTCCGCAGATACCTGGCCAAGGGCAAGGAGACACTGCAGCATACGGATACCAGGGGCAGTGGGGAGTCGTCCCCATCTCCTGTAGATCTTCAAGGATGGCCTCCCACGAGGATCGGAGGCAAATGGGATCAGCACTAGAATATAGTCTTCCCTTGAATGGAGAATGGCATGAGTTTTCCTGAGTTTCCTCTGAGGCCCCCTCTGCTCTCTAGGAGAATTAAGGGATGACGTCTCTGAGGAAATGGAGGGGAAGATGGTCCCTGGAATGCTGATCAGGGGTCCCCTTTGACATTTGCAGTGGCCTTGGGCGCCGAGATTTTTCTCTCAGGCCTTGTTCTCTGCCTCACACGCAATGTGTTTGAAGGTCTGATTCCAGCTTTTCTGAGTCCCTCGGCCTCCACTCAGGTTAGTACCAGAAGTCGCTGTTCCACCCTGAGAGACTAGAGCTTTCCAAGGATTAGGAGATTACCCCAGGTGCCTGTGTCCAGGCTGGTGTCTGGGTTCTGTGCTCCCTTCCCCACCCCAGGTGTCCTGTCCATTCTCAGGATGGTCACATGGGAGCTGCTGCGGTGTCCCATGAGAGATGCAAAGTACCTGAATTTTCTGACTCTTCCCATCAGACTGCCCAGAAACACATGTGATCCACAAAGCCACCCTGAGGTGCTGGGCCCTGGGTTCTACCCTGCATAGATCACACTGACCTCGCAGAGGGATGGGGAGGACCAAACTCAGAACACAGAGCTTGTGGAGACCAGGTCAGCAGGGGACAGAACCTTCTGGAAGTGGATGGCTGTGGTGGTGCCTTCTGGAGAAGTGCAGAGATATACCTACCATATGCAACATGAGGGGCTGCTGGAGCTCCTCACCCTGAGGTGGGGTAAAAAGGGGAATGGGGTAAGGAGGGGGATGGTGGTGTCATGTCTCTTCTCAGGGAAAGCAGGAGCCCTTCTGGAGCCCTTCAGCAGGGTCAGGGCTGGGGCCTGGGGTTAGGGCCCCTCACTTCCCCTTCTTTCCCAGAGCCGTTTTCCCAGCCCACCATTCCCATCGTGGGCATCGTTGCTGGCCTGGATTTCCTTGGAGCTGTGGTCATCAGAGCTATGGTAACTGCTGTGATGTGGAGGAGGAAGAGCTCAGGTAGGGAAGGGGTGAGGGGTGGGGTCTGGGTTTTTTTGTCCCACTGAGGCCTTTAAGCCCCAGGGAGAAGTGTTCCCTGCCTCATTACTGGGAAGCACCATCCAAACATGGGCCGACCCAGCCTGGGGCCCTCTGTGTCAGTACTATTTTGTGAAGTACATGTGACAATGAAGGACAGATGTATCACCTTGATGACTGTGGTGTTGGGGCCTTGATTCCAGCATTCATGAGTCAGAGGAAGGTCCCTGCTAAGGACAGACCTTAGGAGGATGGTTGGTCCAGGACCCACATCTGCTTTCCTCATGTTTTCTGATTCTGCTCTGGGTCTGTAGTCACTGTGGCTAGAATCTTTTCCTGGAGGAACGTTTCTTGGAGCCTCCAAGTCTAGGAGGCTTCTCTAAGATCTCATGGCCCTGCCTCCTCCCTGCCCCCTCACTGGACATTTTCTTCCCACTGGCATAAAAGGAGGGAGCTACTCTCAGGCTGCATGTAAGTGGGGGATGGGAGTGTGGAGGAGCTCATTCACCCCATAATTCCTCCTGGCCCACACCACCTGCGGGCTCTGAACAGGTCCTGTTTTTGTTTTACCTGAGGCAGGGACAGTGCCCAGGGCTCTAATGTGTCTCTCACAACTTGTTAAGGTGAGATTCTGGGGGGTGCGGCAGAGGGGAAAAGACTAGGTACTTGGGATTCTTTAATTGGGATGTTTCAAATGTGTGGTGGGCTGTTCAGAGTGTCATCACTTACCATGATTGATCTCAATTTGTTCATGACTATTGTTTTCTGTAGCCTGAGACAGCTGCATTGTGTGGGACTGAGATGTGGGATTTCTTCATGTCTCCCCTTTGTGAATTGAAGAGCCTCTGGCATCTCTTTCTGCAAAGGCATCTGAATGTGTCTGCGTCCCTGTTAACATAATGTGAGGAGGTGGAGAGACAGCCCACCCCATGTCCACCGTGACCCCTGTCCCCACGCTGACCTGTGTTCCCTCCCCAGTCATCTTTCCTGTTCCAGAGAGGTGGGGCTGGGTGTCTCCATCTCTGTCTCAACTTCCTGGTTCACTGAACTACAACCTCTTTCTTACTGAAAATGAAAATCTGAGTATGAATTTGTTTTCTCAAATATTTGCCATGAGAGGTTGATGAGTTAATTAAATAAGTCAATTCTTAAAATTTGAGAGAGAAAATAAAGACCTGAGAACCTTCCAGAATCCACATGTTCGCTGTGCTGAGTCTGTTGCAGGTGGGGATGGAGAAGGCTGTGAGGAGCCGAGTGTGGATGGGGCCTCTGCCCAGTTGCTGCTGAGTCCATCATGGGCTTTATGTGGTCAGTCTTCAGCTGGGTCAGCTTCACTGCTCCACTGTCCTTGTCCCTTCAGTGGAAACTTGTCCCACAGGAGCTGTGACCACAGAGGCTCACACATCTCCCAGGGTGGCTCCTGCAGACGGGAGTCTCTGTGCTATAAAGAGACACGTTTTCAGACCCATTCAACTCCTGCCGTCCTTCTAGGCCTCCTCTTCTGCTCTACTCTCCTGCCCTCTCTCCCTGCCCTGGTTCCAGTGATCTTGGTGCTGGCTCCAAATCCAGCTTATGAATCTATAAAGCAGAGTCTAATTTAGACTTACATTTGTTTGTGAATTTTGACCCATCATCAAGGACAGTTCTTTTCTGAAGAGAGAAACCTGATTGTGTGCTGCAGTGTGTGTGTGTGTGTGTGTGTGCGTGTGCACGCGCACACAGGGCGGTTGGTGTGGGAGGAGGGATGGGGGAGGGAGGGCACAAGAAGCCCTGCTGAGAAAAGCACAGATGGCCTTGATTCAGTGTGAGGGGACCTTGTGCTGTAGCTGCCACAAAACAGCACTTGGCCTGGGTCTGTGTTAATAAAGATACTGTCTTTAGAAAAGGAGGTGTTCTACAGTGATCATTCATTCAACTGACCTTTGGGGTCAGCCAGACATAGGACAGAATGATTATCCATCTGGGGAACAGAACACCATTGAAGTAAGATCAGAAAAATCTCTTACCTTGTGGAGCATGTGCTTCAGTGGGAAGAGGCAGATGATAGATACACTATAAGCAGAGTAAGGAAAGAAAGAAAGAAAGTTCTCGAAGGTGAGAAGTGCTATAAGATGGGTGGTCCAGGATGTAGGCAATGAGGACAGGGAAGGTGGCTGTTATACAGCAGTGGTCAGTGTGTGCCTTGTTGCAAAGGTGACCTTTGAGGAAAGATTTAAGGGACATGAGCACGTCTGGGGAAGTTCTTTCCAGGCAGGGGGACTCTGGTGCAAATGCACTAGACCAGGGAGCTGTCTGTGTTCCCAGAAGAGCAAGGAGGCCAGGAGGGCTGGACAGAGAAGCTAGATGAGGTCACAGGTATGGCCAGAGCAGGTGGGCTTGAGGGGATTGGGGTTGGATCTGACTTTGCTCAGAGTGGGATGAAGAGTTAGAGGACAGTTTTGAGCAGAAGAGGGCTATAATATGACTTCTCTTCATTTATTTATTTATTCTTTTTTTTATTATTATACTTTAAGTTCTGGGGTACATGTGCAGAATGCATAGGTCTGTTACATATGTATACATAGGCTATGGTGGTTTGCTGCATCCATCACCCTGTCATCTACGTTAGGTATTTTTCCTAACACTATCCCTCCCTTATTCCCCCACCCCCTGCTATCCCTTCCCTAGCTCCCCACTCCCTGACAGGCCCCAGTGTGTGATGTTCTGCTCCCGGTGTCCATGTGTTCTCATTGTTCAACATCCGCTTGTGAATAAGAACATGTAGTGTTTGGGTTTTTTTCTTGTGTCAGTTGGCTGAGAATGATGGTTTTCAGCTTAATTCATGTCCCTGCAAAGGACATGAACTCATAATTTTTTATGGATGCATAGTATTCTGTGGTATATATGTGCCACATTTTCTTTATCCAGTCTTACATTGATGGGCGTTTGGGTTGGTTCCAAGTCTCTGCTATTGTGAACAGTGCTGTAATAAACATACTTGTTTGTGTTTTTTTAATAATAGAATAATCTATAATCCTTTGAGTTTATACCCAGTAATGGGATTGCTGGGTCAAATGGAATTTCTATTTCTAGGTCCTTAAGGAATTGCCACACTGTCTTCCACAATGGTTGAACTAATTTACACTAATTTACACTCCCATCAACAGTGTAAAAGCGTTCCTATTTCTCCACATCCTCTCCAGCATCTGCTGTCTCCATATTTTGTAACGATCACCCTTCTAACTGGCTTGAAATGGTATCTCAATGTGGTTTTGATTTGCATTTCTCTAATGACCAGTGATGATGAGCTTTTTTTTTTATGTTTGATGACTGCAAAAATGCCTTCTTTTGAGAATTGTCTGTTCATGTTGTTCACTTACTTTTTGATGGTGTTGTTTGTTTTTTTCTTGTAAATTTGTTTAAGTTCTTTGTAGATTCTGGATATTAGCCCTTTGTTAAATGGATAGAGTGCAAAAATTTTTTCCCATTCTGTTGGTTGTCGGTTCACTGTATTGGCAGTTTCTTTTGCTGTGCAGAAGCTTTTTAGTTTAATTAGATCCCATTTGTCTGTCTTGGCTTTTGTTGCCATTGCTTTTGTTGTCTTAGTCATCAAGTCCTTGCCCATGCCTATATTCTGAATGGTATTCCCTAGGTTTTCTTCTAGGGTTTTTATGGTGTTAGGTCTTATGTTTAAATCTTTAATCCATTTGGTGTTAATTTTTGTATAAGGTGTTAGGCAGGGATCCAGTTCAGCTTTCTGCATATGGCTAGTCAGTTTTATCAACACCATTTATTAAATAGGGAATCCTTTCCCCATTGCTTGTTTTTGTCAGGTTTGTCAAAGATCAGATGGTTGTAGATGTGTGGTGTTACTTCTGAGGCCTCTGTTCTGTTCCATCGGTCTCTATTTCTGTTTTGGTACCAGTACCATGCTGTTTTTATTACTATAACCTTGTAGTACAGTTTGAAGTCAGGTAGCGTGATGCATGATGCCTCCAGCTTTTTTTCCCCCCTTAGGATTGTCTTGGCTATGCATGCCTTTATTTGCTTCTATACAATATTTAAGGTTTGGTTTTGTTTTGCTTGACTTTCAATTCTGTGAAGAAGGTGAATGGTAGCTTGACAGGGATAGTATTGAATGTAAAAATTACTTTGGGCAGCATGGCCATTTTCGCAATATTGATTCTTCCTAACCATGATGATGGAGTGTTTTTCCATCTGTTTGTGTCCTCTCTTATTTCCTTGACAGTGGTTTGTAGTTCTCCTTGAAGATGTCCTTCACATCCCCTGTTAGTTGTGTTCCTAGGTATTTTATCCTTTTGTGTAGCAATTGTGAATGGGAGTTCATCATCATTGGCTCTCTGTTTGTCTGTTATTGGTGTATAGCAATGCCTGTGATTTTTGCACATTGACTTTGTATCCTGAGACTTTACTGGAAGTTGCTTATCAGCTTAAGGAGATTTTGGGCTGAGATAACGGGGTCTTCTGCATATACAATCATGTTGTCTGCAAATAGAGACAATCTGACTTCCTCTTTTTCTAATTGAATACGCTTTATTTCTTTTTCTTTCTTAATTGCCCTGGCCAGAGCTTCCAATACCGTGTTGAATAGAAGCGGTGAGAGAGGTCATCCTTGTCTTGTGTCAGTTTTCAAAGGGAATGCTTCCAGTTTTCCCCCATTCAGTATAGTATTGGCTGTGGGCTTGTCAGAAATAGCTCTTATTATTTTGAGATATGTTCCATCAATACTTATTGAAAGATTTTAGCATAAAGAGCTATTGAATTTTGTCAAAGGCCTTCTTTGCATCAATTATGCATTTTTTGTCTTTGGTTCTGTTTATGTGATGGATTATGTTTATTGATTTGCATATGTCGAGCCAGCCTTGAATCCCAGGGATGAAGCTGACTTGATTGTGATGGATAAGCTTTTTGATGTGCTGTTGCATTTGGTTTGCCAGTATTTTATTGAGAATTTTTGCATCAATGTTCATCAGGGATATTGGCCTGAAATTTTCTCTTTTAGTTGTGTCTCTGCCAGGTTTTGGTATCAGGATGATGTTGGCCTCATAAAATGAGTTAGGGAGGATCCTCTCTTTTTCTATGTATGAAATAGTTTCAGAAGGAATGGTACCAGCTACCTTTTTACCTCTGGCAGAATTCAGCTGTGAATCCATCTGGTCCTGGACTTTTTTTCATTGGTAGGTTATTAATTGCTGCCTCAATTTCAGACCTTGTTATTGGTCTATTCAGGGATTTGACTTCTTCCTGTTTTAGTCTTGAGAGGGAGTAAGTATCCAGGAATCCATCCATTTCTTCTAGATTTTCTGGCTTATTTGCATAGAGGTGTTTATAGTATTCGCTGATGGTAGTTTGTATTTATGTGGGATCGGTGGTGATATCCCCTTTATCATTTTTTATTGCATCTATTTGATTCTTATCTCGTTTCTTCTTTATTAGTCTGGCTAGTGGTCTATCTATTTTGTTGATCTTTTAGAAAAAACCAGCTACTGGATTCATTGATTTTTTTGAAGGGTTTTTCGTGTCTCTTATTTCCTTCACTTCTGCTCTGATCTTAGTTTTTTCTTGTGTTCTGCTAGCTTTTGAATTTGTTTGTTCTTGCTCCTCTAGTTCTTTTAATTAGGGTGTCAATTTTAGATCTTTCCTCATTTCTCTTGTGGGCATTTAGTGTTGTAAATTTCCCTCTAGACACTGCTTTAAATATGTCCTGAGTTTCTGGTACATTGTGTCTTTGTTCTCACTGGTTTCAAAGAACATCTTTATTTCTGCCTTCACTTCATTATTTGTCCAGCAGTCATTCAGGAGCAAGTTGTTCAGTTTCCATGTAGTTGTGTGGTTTTGAGTGGGTTTCTTAGTCCTAAATTCTAATTTAATTGCACTGCCGTCTGAGAGACTATTTGTTATGATTTCCATTATTTTGCATTTGCTGAGGTAGGATTTAGTTTCAATTAAGTGGTCTATTTTAGACAAGTGCGATATGGTGCTGAGAAGAATGTATATTCTGTGGATTTGGGGTGGAGAGCTCTGTAGATGTCTATTAGGTCTGCTTAGTCAAGATCTGAGTTCAAGTCTTGGATATCCTTGTTAATTTTCTGTCTTGTTGATCTGTATAATATTGACAGTGTGATGTTAACGTATCCACTATTAATGTGTGGGGGTCTAAGTCTCTTTGTAAGTCTCTTTGTACGTGTTCCTATAT